CTGATAGCATTAGAGAGGTGAGCAGATATTTTCTACCTTTTTTAGCTTAATGGAAATGTGATAAAAAAGCAAGAACCATAGGAAAACAGATGCATTGTGCCCAAAACCAGAAAATTCTGTGTCCAATTTCAGCCACAGAATCTGGAGGGGTGAGAAGCAGGAGCAGGGACCTATGAGACTTTGGACGGTCCATCCGCCTGGACTCTGCTGCGGTGCCAAGCCACCATCTCCTAAATCCTTGGTTTGATTTTTCTGTCTGCAGGTCGGTGGCTTTGACGGCGCCAACCGCCTGCGGAGCGCCGAAGCGTACAACCCGATAGCCAACACCTGGCGCACGATCCCGACGATGTTCAACCCTCGGAGCAACTTTGGCATTGAAGTGGTGGACGACCTGCTCTTCGTGGTGGGCGGTTTCAATGGCTTCACGACCACGTTCAACGTCGAGTGTTACGATGAGAAGACGGACGAGTGGTATGATGCTCATGACATGAGCATCTACCGCAGTGCTCTGAGCTGCTGCGTGGTACCGGGACTGCCCAATGTTGGGGAGTACGCTGCCAGGCGGGACAACTACGTGGGGTCATCCCAGAGAGACGAGGTCAAATATTCCTCCTCCACAAGCACGCTACCCGTGTGAAAAATCTCTCCTTGACTAATAAAGCCCTCTAAGCAAGAACTAGATGCACCAGTGAACTGGCCTTGTTCCTTCATTCCTAGATAAACGATGAGGCTGGCCCTTATTAGATGTGTTAAAGCAGTGTTTCTCAACCTCGGCAACTTTAAGAGGTGTGGACTTCAACTCCCAGAATTCCCCAGCCGGCATGGGAGTTGAAGTCCACACATCTTGCTGAGGTTGAGGAACATTATCCTAGGGGATTGGTTCTTTGCAAGAATCATAATCTACTTTTAAACTGGCCAGCACATTCATCTATCACGTGTTTCTCAACCTTGGCTACGTTAAGAGGTGTGGACTTCAACTCCCAGAATTCCCAGCCAGCATGGGAGTTGAAGTCCACACCTCTTAGAGTTGCTAAGGTTGAGGAACACTATGCTAGGGGGTTGGTTCTTTGCAAGAATCTTAATCTACCTTTAAACTGCCCAGCACATTCATCTATCATGGTGTTTTTCAACCTTGGCTACGTTGAGGTGTGGACTTCAACTCCCAGAATTCTCCAGCCAGCAAGCTGGCTGGGGAATTCTGGGAGTTGGAGTCCACACCTCTTAACATAGCCAAGGTTGAGAAACACTGCATTAAAGGAATGTTTTCATCCTCTGCTGAATTAATTGGCAATATTTAGAACCCACCCCAATATTACTGGACTCTGGGTGAGGCATCAGGTCAAAAGCAGCACTGAAAACCAACAGCAAGCAATGAAGAGAAAATTGCTTCCCATTAAAAATAAGTCACGAGAACTGCCTTAAACTGCAACACAGCCAGCATCCAAAGTGTCCTTTTCTAAGCACAGCTCTTGGGGCTTCAGATCTTCGCCCCTCCTTCCCACTATCCTGCCCGCAATCTTCATTCGCGAGGGGTTAAGAAAGCTCTCGAGAGATGGGCAGGATCCGGGCAGAGCTGCCGCGAAGGGCAGAGCAATGCCAGGCCAAGGCCTTGATAAGAAGCCCAGGGCATTAGGGCTGTTGGAGTGGAATGTCAGCTTTGTGTGCCCCGAGGCTGGCTGGCAGAAATTAATTTGTGCATTGGGCCACCCAGATCCATGCAAGGGCGACTGGGTTGTGGCTTTCCAACCGCAGTGGTGGGTTGCGCCAGTGAGTGGATGAGCTGCGGCACATGTCTGAATGCGGGAATTGCTAAACCTAGGGTGCACGTCTGAATGCGGGAACTGCTAAACCTTGGGTGCATATCTGAATGCGGGAACTGCTGAATCTCGGGCGCACGTCTGAATGCGGGAATTGCTAAACCTCGGGCACACGTCTGAATGCGAGAATTGCTAAACCTCTGGCGCACGCCTGAATGCAGGAATTGCTAAATCTTTGGGCGCACGTCTGAATGCGGGAATGGCTAAACCTCGGGCGCACGCCTGAACGCGGGGATTCCTCCCCCTCCGTCCTTCGCGGGCAGGACGGCGAAGAAGCAAGCCCCGTTGCAGCCGCGACGCCTTGTGGGTAACGTAGTTTCCCTGCCTCGTCTCCAACAGCAACAGAGCTTGTCCTCCTCTGCCCGCCCGCCCGGCTGGGTGCGATGCCGCGCTCGGTGCCTGCTGGGCGCCGCGCTCCCTCCCCGCCCCGCGCACCGGCCTCGGCGCTCAAGCCGGCGCGTTAGCCGGACCGAGAGAGGAGCAGCGGCAGCGGCGACGCGGGCAGGTC